TCCTGTCCTCCACCATCCCCTGGAGTCCATTTCAGCTGTCGCCTACTGCTTCAGTGACTCTATCCAGCCACCTCATTCTCTGTTGTCCCTTTCTTCTTTTGCCCTCAGTCTTTCCCAGCATTAGGTTCTTCTCCAGTAGTCCTTTCTTCTCATTAGCTGGCCAAAGTATTTGAGTTTCAGCTTCAGGATCTAGCCTTCTAAGTGCACATATACATACCAGTGGTGAAATCCAATTTTTTTTGCTACTGGTTCTGTGGGCATGGCTTGGTGGGCAGGGTACTGCAAAATCTCCATTCCCGCCCCATTCCTGGGGGAAGGATATTGCAAAATCTCCATTCCCACTTCACTCTGGGGCCAGCCAGAGGTGGTATTTGCCGGTTCTCTGAGCTGCTCAAAATTTCTGATACTGGTTCTCCAGAACCTGTTAGAACCTGCTGGATTTCACCCCCGATACGTACATATATACAAAGACACATTCAAACATTTTCAGCTTCTGTCTCATTGCCAAAACAAGCTGTTGGTGTCCCCATTAAGCAGTCAGATAATGATAGGGTTTTTACTAGAAAGCCATTCTTTCCTGGCCAGCTGGTCACGAGAGTCATGTGTTAATATAGCATCTTACATATAGACAATAAATTCTGCATTTTATTTTTCTAAGTCTTTGAATTCACTGGATTAAGAAATCTCAATTACGGATACAATACCAATGTCTGTGTTGCATTATTTTCTTGTAGTTGCTGCCATAGAAGGCAATCAAATGCAAGTATCACCAATCCTTTATGCAAATTAACAACAAACTAATGCAAGGAAAAAGTTCTGGAAACTTTGGGGGGACACTGTCAGTTTGCAACAAAAAGCGTGAGCTTTTTGGCATTTACTGCATTCAACTGGTGGCTAGGCCATATTCAGCAATGGTTGGCTCCAAGCAGTCTCTAAGACCTTCACATCGGTTCATCGAGATAGTCATGTTAGAAGTATTTGCAAAACTGCAGTTCGTAAAAAGAAATATTTCATTGGTTGAAATGTGCATTGGGATCATATGGTTTAACAATAACATAAATAAAAAGTACTTAGAAAGAGAAATCCTAAAAAAGTTATATTAATAACAGTCTCCCTCAAATTGTTCTATTTTTTTTTTCTTTACTGTGCTGTAAGCGAATAAAACCTTAGCAAAACTCAGGCTCAGGCCATTTGACAAACTGAAATTGCTGCTGCTGCTGCTGTCTTCCCATTTTCCACGGTCAACACATTTTATTTTGGTCACTGTTCAGTTCTTCCTGTTGTTCTAACAATGATATCAAAGCTTGATGAATGAAATTACCTAGGTGTGATTATGTGGTGACGGATCCAAAAGAAGGCAGAAGTTATGCACAACACAGAATATGACAATGGTTCACCACTATTCTCTTGAGAGATAATATGTTGCTTCTAATCAAAACCTGTGTGCATTTCAAACAAATGTTTTCTTTTTCAGTCTCGTTTTTTAAAATAAATGTTCTTATTCAATTTTTTAAAAAAATGCAAAATATACACAGAACACCAACATAATGTACCCTAAAAACACAAACATATTTTTAATTATTATTTCTCTTTCAATCAAAGCAACTTCTTGGGATAATATATTGTAGAAAAGGTGTTTTATTTCAAGGAGTGTGGGTAGTGACAAATCTTCAGGCCATATTGAGCATAGAATGCTTTTGATAATTAGACTCATGAATATTTAACTTTTTGGAAAATTCTAGTATGAGAAAAGATGATTAAAAAAATTTGTTGTAAAGTTTGGGTAGAATACAGAATTAAAACTTTAAACACATTGCCATGTAATGATTCTTTTGAGGATTTCTTCCAACTTCAAATTGATTTTCCTAGTTCACAGCAATGAAAGTATTTTGAATTTAAGCATGTTTAACAGCTCAGTATGGACCACAGACTTTGGCTTTTTCTGAGACATCTGATATGCTTTTTAAAAAAAATAGATCCATGGCATTAGTGAATCCCACTTCTGTATTTAAAAATATGATTAAAGTAAAAATTTATGGGTTCATTGACCCATATGATACATTCTGTTTTGGAATGGTATATTAATGCATATAAATCGGATTATGAGAAAATCTATATATGGTAAAGATGTTAATGTGACACTGATTTATATATAAAAGCTTTGGAAGCTGACTATTTATCACGAATTATTACTGTGTTTGCATGGGGATAACTAAAATAATTGAACTGAAAACTGGGGAGGGGTGGAGAAATGATATTATTCCAGACATTATGAAATAGCTTTTGGAAAACTGTAACTTACCCATCTTAGAAAAAGCAATATTCTGTACTAATGAAAAGAAGGATTTTATGATAATATTTGCTTTTTATTCTATTATAATATTATATGGCAATTATTTATTAGATATTGATAAGGTTTTATTGTATCTTATTTTTCTTTCTCTTTTCATTTTTCTTTTACTTTTTTTTAAGTTTATGGATTGCTCCATTTAAATCTTATGTCAAACCTTGAAGAAGTCTCCAGTTTCTTTTTGTAAAAGCAGAAGTGAGAATCCATATTTCTATGCAAATGAGGTCTTAAGGGGCTCTCTCTAGCTATTTTACACTTAAGGCCTCTTTTGTTAAAATATAAGGAACACATATAGGGATCCCCAGTACATGGCTCTGGGTATTGCCCCCTAAAGACTATGTTGATTGTCCATCCTTGGTTCTTGGGGGAGAGAAAGTGCCCCCCCCTCAGAACAGGCTCGCGATTTGGGTGTCCTTCTAGACTCACAGCTGAGATTGGAACAACATCTGACATCTGTAGCTAGGGGGACCTTTGCATAGGTTCATCTGGTGCACCAATTGCGACCCTACTTGGATCAGGAGGCTCTCCTCACAGTCACTCATGCCCTTGTCATCTCACGGTTGGACTATTGCAATGCGCTCTACATGAGGCTACCCTTGAAAAGTGTTCGGAGACTACAGTTGGTCCAGAATGCAGCTGCACGAGTTATAGTGGGTGCACTTAGATACACCCATATTACACCAATTCTCCGCGAGTTGCACTGGCTCCCTATCGGTCTCCGGGTGCAATTGAAGGTGTTGGTTATTACCTTTAAATCCCTACATGGCTCAGGACCAGGCTATCTTCGAGACTGCCTTCTACCACATAGCTCCCAGTGACCAGTAAGATCCCACAGAGTCGGTCTCTTCTGGGTCCCGTCAGCTAAACAATGTCGGCTGGCGGGCCTGTGGGGGAGGGCCTTCTCTGTGGTTACCCTGGCTCTCTGGTACCAATTACCTCCTGAAGTCCGGACTGCACCCACCCTATTGGCCTTCTGGAAAGCAGTGAAGACCTGGCTCTTCCAGCAGGCCTGGGGCCGTTGATCTCATTATAGTGATCTTGCGAGACCCAGCCACAAATTGGGGTGTATGTGTTTTAACATTTTAATGTTTTAATGTCTTCTTTTAACTTTTGTATGGGATATTGTTGCATTGTTTTATTCTCTGTTGTAAGCCGCCCAGAGTCCCTTGGGAGTTGGGCGGCATAGAAATGCGACAAAATAATAAATAAATAAATGCTTAAAATACAAGGTACGTTCATCATTTATCAATGCTGTTTTGCAGTGTAAAACATACTTAAGCCTTCACTCTCGGTGAGATTTATTAAGTTATCATTTCTTCATAACGTCTTTGGCATTTTTTTAAACTAAAGTATAGTCCTGCAAAAGCAATATGTGATAGACTTAATATGGAATTCTACAAGAAAAAGACCGTGACCTGAAATCTTTAAAACCATAATTGAAATCCTGGTTGACATTTTCATATTATGTAAATAACTTTCAAAATATTATTATTAGACAATATTAAGTAGTTTGTCCTTCAGACTCTGTAGGACTGATTTTTTAGCCATTGTTATTGTGTGTGTGTTTTATGTAATAGTGCTAGTTTTATATTGCTAGTTTTCACAACAATTATTGTTTATTTAGCATATGGCATACAAGGCCAGGGAGGCTACCACATTATACACATGGTAGAAATCCTGGCAGCTGACAGTTGTTAGTCCGTTGGTTGCACAGGTATACCACAGAATGTAGTCAGCATTTCCCCACCACAGAAATGGTAGTACGTTTTACAAAATAGTAATTGCTCAGCACATTCATTAAGCCTCTGTGCCACTGTGTCCCCTAACAACAATTATATAGATTTACTTTCAGTTTAATCGGTTTGAAAGAAAGATGAAGAGAAGATTGGGTATAAAAATGTTTGTAGCAAGAAATTCTGGACTATAATAATTTTGTGTTTTCTATCTGTCGAATCTTATCTATGATCAAACTGATACTTTACTACGTAGTTACTGTTACTGTCCACACTGAAACAGGAGCAGTTCAGTGTAACTCCACATACAGTTTTTGAATAGTAGCCTATGGTGCCAATTTCCTTGGTAAACTGAAAACTATTGATAAAATAACCAATCTCCTAATATGATATCTCAGAAAGATTGTGTTAATTTAGTTAAAGATTAATAGTTAGTAAATTTTCTCTGTTATTCTCTGTTAGTAGTAATGAACATTTCAATACGTATCCTATATTTATATTTAGAGAATACTGATAAAAGTTGTACCTCATTAAAACAAGATATTTATTAACATGTTGTCAAATAACCAGATATATCTTCACCTTTTTTGTTAACCACACAAAACAATGAAACAAAAAATTAAATCCTCACTTACCCAAGCTTCAGTTGAGTATATGTCTTATAAAATCCTATCATACAAAGTGTTCAAACTGGCATATTGAGTTTCTGCATTTTAATGATATTGCTATATTTTATAAATTCCCTAAATCCAATTAGATTAGCAGCATAACCATAAATGTTTCAAGAATTACCGTGTTTCCCCTAAAATAAGACCCTGTCTTATATATTTTTTTTGTCAGCAAAAAAGGCACCAGGTCTTATTTTGGGGGGGGGGATACGTCCACTGACCTACTTCACTTGATTGTGTTGTCCCCAGCCTCTTTTTCACTATCAGAGGCCTTCAGGAACTTCTTCATCCAGCAAGACCAGGCTATCAATCCAGAGCTCTGTCATCGGCTAGAGAGGCCTTCAGTAAAAGCCTTTAGGAAAAACCTATGTAGCCTTGCTGGCTGCAGCAAAAGAAATAGGCTGAGCCATGTGAGGCCTGGCTGCAACTGTCCAAAGGTAAGTAGTACAGCAGCTCCACTGCCCCCATCCCCATCCTAGCTTAATTTTTGCCTGTGCACCCTGGAGTGGGTGGGATATTAATTAGGGCTTATTTTTGGGGGGGTAAGGCTTATATTGGGCACATATGCAAAATCAAGCTAGGACTTACTTTCTGAGTAGGTCGTCTTTTACGGGCAACATGGTATATATTATTAATAAAATATTGACAATAATCATTATCTCCTTATTTTGATAGCTTCTTCCAAAATGTTGATGGCATTGTCACCTTGAAATTTCTATCAGATAAAAATTGTGGATTTAGATTTGCCTAGCATTGTTTAAATGTGAGCAACATAAAGTAAGTAATTAATTAGATCAAGCTCCTGGTGAGTATACGTATTAGTAATATGATACCTCCTATCCTTTCTAGAAACTACTTGCAGCTTTTTTTATATATTTGCAGATATTCCAAATATTCATCAACCCATCCCATTCACCCTATTCATCACTTTCTGCTTCCAAGCATAGTGGTATCATAACCTTAGTTTAAACTGCCACTATGAAGCCATAGGAACATGTGAGCTGAGACATGACACAAAACTCAAAATTGAGGGATAGCTTGAGGGAAGAAAAAGATCAATTAACAATAAAATATGTATAGTCAGGTTGTATAGGTGCTAAGCATGCCAAGGCTGAGGAAGTTATTGTCATAATTTGCACAGGCTATATGAGCCAACAAAATATAGAGACAAGTCAGCTATTGCCAGAGTTCTGGGAGATAATTAATGTATGCGTGGGTTGCACTCTTCTAATAAGTAGGCAGGAGTAGAAAGATGGACCGATTTTCACTCTCTGGAAGTTATAGAATCAATAGCAGACAGTGAAGAAAGGTCAGCTTTTGCTTTATCAGCATGCATACAATCATAATTTACAGGAACAGCCATGACCAGTTAAAGGCAAATTGCGTACTTTGGGCAGAGCAGGTAAATATTTAGCTAGACTCTCTTACATGAAGCAAAGTAGATGTCAGCACAATGCAGAGGAATCCTTTGCTGCCTACTTACTGGAAGCATTGGAAGAATTATATAGTAAAGCAGAGTTATCCAGGAATGCTGACAGCATATAACTTGGGGAGACAGGATCTGGCTGGAGTTTCCCAAAAACATCTGACATGTCCACTAACCGGAGTGTATACCCAGTACAGGGTATAATATTCTGACGCTGTATCACATTTCCCTGGAAAGGAGTTAATAAAACAGAAGCTGTTAAAAATGATCCCCCCCACTTCTGAGATAACCCAGCATCTTCAATGTGTTGTATTCTGTTTATGAAGAAGCTATTATTGTTATTATCAGTAGCAGAAGGAGCTGCATCTGTTCCTCATGTTTCTGGCTTTCTAAGATATAACTTTCAGATGGTTATTAATTAATTGATCACATTTATACGGCTACCCATCTCGTAAAAAGCAGTTCTAGACCATACCAGTGGGCTGCCCCCAGAAGAACAGGCAAATCATTTCATGACACAAGCTTTATCTTTTTATACAAGTCTCATGACATCTCATATGTACACACAAAGGAAAAGTTTATACTGCAACTCTGTAATGCTCATTTTATCATTTACTCAATCCAAATATATTAATTGGCAAAGAAATATGGACCCATCAGAATGAACTACCTGATGAAACTAATTCAGAAACTGATAAAGTAGCTCTTTTTTAAAAAAAAATAGTCACTTCAATCTTCTTCATCAATGCTATTATTATTATCTGCTTAAAAATGTATAGTAAGCTTTCAAAAAGTTAAAGATAGAAATAGACAGGGAGATATAGTGTCAAGGTTCCAACTGATGAACCCAAGCAAGCAAGCAGACTTGAAACTTTCCAATCTCTTTCTATTAAACTTTATTGGATACATCATATCAGTACAAATAATAGAAAAACCAACTCTAATTAATCCCTAATCCTCTCATTTTTGCATAGTTAAAGAATCAAATTCCCCTCCCCTCATTAGTTCAGTCACATTGTCCAATTAGTAGTTCGAATATTGTTTTAGCAACAGTCCGAACCTTAATAACCCAGATGGATAAACAACCTTGGTTCCCACAGAAATGGATTCTTTTTTGTTGTCTGCAGTTTGGAACCAGGATTCCACAGGTGGGTCCTCTCCCCCCAGTCTCTGTGGCAACTGAGAAGTGGTAATAGTTGAAATCAGCATAATTTTTCTTTGAAGTTGACACATAGCTTTTCTCTCTGTCCCGGCTTCTTTGTCATTTATCTCTCTCTTCTTCTCTCTGTACCCACAGTGCCCTGCTGATTCAGTTAGGCTGTTGATGACAATGATCCAATGAATGAATACATGTTCACTTTCTGGTTCTCAGATGCCAGCCTGACAGACCTTGCATATTAGTTAGAACAATTAATCAGAACATTTAATTAGAACAATAAACGACTTGCTTCCAGAAGTGGTGGGCACTCCAACACTGGAGGTTTTTAAGAAGAAATTAGACAATCGTTTGTCTGAAATAGTATAGTATTTTCTGCTTGAGTACGGGGCTGACTAGAAGACCTCCAAGGTCCTTTTCAACTCTGTTATTCTGTTAGTTCTTTTCTGATAGATTTCTTTTGCCATACTGTCCACATTACCAAATTTGTCAATCTGTTACAGCATCTGGCATCTATCTGCCTTTCTTCCATACTGTCGTTTGACCCATTTAGCAGGGACACAAAATATTGTTAACAATCCACAACCATGAAGTTGCTAACTTCATAATTTTGTTTAAAAAATGAAGCCATTTCAGATGTACTGCAGTACCGTCATTGCAGTATGTGGATAAATCTTCTTTATAAATGGAATCTTGAATCTTAAATTAGCTGGATTCAAGTTTTGTTATAATTAATCTCAAACTTAAGATTCAATACTTGATTTAAATATGGTGTTCTTTGAATTTGAAATCTTCAATTTGAATCAAATCAGTTCTGACTTACACCAGCCCAATTAAAGGAGAATTTTTCATGATGTTCATCTTTGAAAAATTTGTTAAAGTGTGGAAATGAGGAAACTCATTTCAATTGGAACAGATTTGTTCCAATTTGTACAGACTGTCAACGAACTAAAGAAAAGACAAGAATCCTATATTATACTTATGAGAATTTCCCACATATCATCTATTACTTGGGTAGTGGGGGGGAAGTATTAGGTTATTTTTTATGAAACTGAATAACAATATTTCTAATACATTAATGTTGTTTCTATTTTTTATTCAGGGTTTTTTATACTGTACTTTTAGGATTATTTTATAATAATTCTATCAACTAATATTTTATTACATTCATTTTGTTTGCTTGACATTTTTAAAGGATATATTTGCTAAAAAGAGAAAATCAACTTGTTGGGCGATTTAAATAAAAATACTATTTCTACAAAGTCTTTTTTTTTTGTTTTTTTTGTTCAGAAAGGCTGCCACCATATTTTAAACTGTGCAAATATGAATCAATACAAATAATGGTAAAAGCTTTCTATAAACATCAATGCTAGCAATCCACCATCAGACAAATATTACTTTCTGCTAACATAATTACATGGTTCATATGCTTACAACATTGTTGATTGCAAAACCTTCATTTGTAGGCCTTAGTTACAGGGCATGTAAAAACAAATATGCACAGTTCCGGTGCAAATTGAGACCCCAAAATGACAAAGTTCACAAATAAATGTGTTTTTTTATTCACCATATTTTATATCATATTGTTGAAGTAATCAAAAGAAGATAAAGCATAAAATTAAGGTTATTTTTACGAGTATTTCTCAGAGTTCTTGGCTAAATACAAGCATGCTATATTTTCCTTTTCATTTCAATTGCAAAGCTTACCTATTTCTTCCATCAGGTAAATTATATTCACCATCTTCTGTACTCTATTTTTGGAAGTGTTTTTAACCGAATCAGTTCCAGTTGCTCTAATTAACTGAAATGAATATTTAAAGGTTATAATTGCTGGACTCTGGCATCCTGAGAAATAATCATTACCTGTCTGAAGTGTTGTTTTACATGCCTACAGCTTTAAAAAAAAGACTGCTGCTGCTTATATTCTTGTTCATTTGAACAATATTATTATGTTGTAAGTTGATTATATGGGGTGGCTTTTAGTCAATCAGTTTCTTAAAGCACCTAAAAATAATGTTTTGTTCTGCTGTTATAAAAAGCAAAGATCTTACACTGAGAAATATGAGATAAATTCTAAAACTGAAGCAAAGATTCAACAAACTTACCCAGAAACTTCATTTCAAACAACCAAAAGATTTTATACTGAGTTTTAATTTCTCTGATGGGTGACAAGATGACAGATGACAAGCATATATTTTCAAATAACATGAGTTATTCTGAAAATAATAAGCACTAACCTATATTAAAAGGCAAGAAACACTACTTTGAAATCAGAACAAAATACAGTAGGGAATGACTGCGTTCTGATAGAATAGAACTCAAGTAAGGTCAAATAATACATTTTTAAAAAATGAAACAATAAATGTATTTGGTGACTATAAGAAATAATGAGAAATCCAAATGAGTTTTTGTCCCTTGTTTTTCACTCTAGTGTTAAAGAAATAATCAGGTGTCAGTCTATACTAAATATAGTAGTACCAGCTAAGCAACTGACTAGAGTGATTATTTGTATACATTTATATAAATTATATGGAATTTATACTTTCTATACTAGTACATTTCCTTTTCTATTTGGAATAGGATAACTGAAATAAATGAGAAGGAAGGAAGGAAGGAAGGAAGGAAGGAAGGAAGGAAGGAAGGAAGGAGGGAGGGAGGGAGGGAGGGAGGGAGGGAGGGAGGGAATCTAATGTATCTGTCTCAGTAATAATTCATACAAGCAATTTCAAACAATAATATTCCAAATGCAAGACGTACAGTAAGGTAACACATCAATCACATTGTCCAAACCAATTTGAAACATTCAAAAGAGAATCAGTCAAATATACAGACAATTTTTTTTAATTGATTAAATGCCCTCATTATAGTGCTGACTTTTAATAATCATTTCTTTAGACAGTTTCCAGGATGATTTGTTACCAAATTAGACCTTCAGGTTTTCAAATGATGTACCAGCAGAATCCAGCAGGTTCTGACAGGTTCTGGAGAACCGGTAGCGGAAATTTTGAGTAGTTCAGAGAACTGGCAAATACCACCTCTGGCTGGCCCCAGAGTGGGGTGGGAATGGAGATTTTGCAGTATCCTTCCCCTGCCATGCCCACCAAGCCACACCTACCAAGCCATGCCCACAGAACCGGTAATAAAAAAAATGAATTTCACCACTGTGTACCATATCACTCCCCTTCATGGATTACTGTCTTGTTGTGGCAAAGGGCCTTGCATAGCTCAATGAAGCTATGAGCTATACAGTGCATGGCCACCCAAGATGGACAGGTCATAGCAGAGAGATCTGACAAAAAGTGATCTACTGGAGAAGGAAATAGCAACCCACTCCAGTATCTTTGCCATGAAAATCCCAAGGACAGTACCAAAAGGAAAAAAGATATGATGCTGGAAGATGAGCTCCTCAGGTCAGAAGGTGTCCAATATGCTACTGGGGAAGAGCAGACGGCTAGTACTAGTAGCGCCAGAAAAAGTGAAGTGACTGAGCCAAAGCCGAAAGAATACTCTGCTGTGGATGCATCTGGTGGTGAAAGGAAAGTCTGATACTGTAAAGATTTTTTTTTCCATAGGAACATGGAATGTAAGATCCATGAATCAAGGCAAGCCGGACTTGGTCAAACAAGAGATGACAAGACTGAACATTGACATCTTAGGAATCAGCAAACTAAAATGGACAGGAATGGGTGAATTTAATTCAGATGACTATCAGGTATACTACTGCGGGCAAGAATCCTCAGAAGAAATGGAGTAGCTTCATAATCAATAAAAGAGTAGGAAAAGCAATACTGGAATACAATTCCCAAAATGACAGAATGATCTCAGTTCAAATCTAAGGAAAACCATTCAATATCACAATAATCCAAGTCTATGCCCCAACCACTGGTGCTGAATAGGATGAAATTGACATGGTTCTATGAAGCTCTATAGCACCTTATAGAATTAACACCAAAAAATGATGTCCTTATCATCATGAGGGATTGGAATGCTAAAGTAGGAAGCCAAAAGATAACCGGAATAATAAGCAAGTTTGGCTTTGGAGTACAAAATGAAGCAGAGTACAGGCTGATAGAATTTTGTCAAGAGAATACGATCTTCATAGCAAACACTCTTTTCCAACAACCAAAAGACAACTCTACACATGGACATCACCAGACGGTCAACACAGAAATCAGATTGACTATGTGCTGTGCACCCAAAGATGGAGAAGTTCTATACAGTCGGTAAAAACAAGACCAGGAGCTGACTGTGGCTCAGATCATGAACTTCTCATTGCAAAATTTAGGCTTAAATTGAAGAAAGTAGGGAAAAGCACTAGGCCACTCAGGTATGAACTAAATCATATCCCTGATGAATATACAGTAGAGGTGACAAATAGATTTAAGGAATTAGATCTGATAGACAGAGTGCCTGAAGAAGTAGGGATGTTTGCAACATTGTACAAGAGGTTGTGCAACTAAAACCATCCCAAAGAAAAAGAAAGGCAAGAAGCAAAATGGTTGTCTGATGAAGCTTTGCAAATAGCTGAGAAAAGAAGGGAAGTGAAAGGCAAGGGAAAAAGAGAAAGATACACCTAGTTGCCTTCTTAAATGAACAGTGCAAAGAAATAGAAGAAAACAATAGAATAGGGAGGACCAGAGATCTCTTCAAGAAAATTGGAGATATGAACGGAATGTTTCATGCAAAAATGGGCATGTTAAAGGACCAAAATGGCAGGGACCTAACAGAGGCAGAAGAGATTAAGAAGAGGTGGCAAAATTACACAGAAGATCTATACAAAAATGAGCTTAACTTCCAGGTTTGGAAAAGGTTAGTTTATATACAATTCCAAAGAAAGGCAATGCCAAGGAATGTTCAAACTATCGCACCATTGCACTCATTTCACATGCTAGTAAAGTCATGCTTAAAATCCTGCAAGCTAGGCTCCAGCAGTACGTGGATCAAGAATTACCAGAAGTACAGGCAGTATTTCAAAGAGGCAGAGGAACTAGAGATCAAATTGCCAACATATGCTGGATCATGAAGAAAGCTAGGGAGTTCCAGAAAAACATCCACTTCTGCTTCATTGACTATGCTAAAACCTTTGATTGTGTGGATCACAACAAATTGTGGCAAGTTCTTAAAGAGATGGGAGTACCAGACCATCTTATTTGTCTCTTGATAAACCTATATGCGGGTCAAAAAGCAACACTGAGAACTGGACATGGAAACACTGATTGGTTCAAAATTGGGAAAGGAGTCTGGCAAGGCTGTATACTGTCACCCTGCCTATTTAATTTATATGCAGAGCACATCATGAGAAAGGCAGGGCTAGATGAATCAAAAGTTGGAATTAAGATTGCCGGGACAAATATCAACCACCTCAGATATGCAGATGATACCACTCTAATGGCAGAAAGTGAAGAGGACCTAAAGAGCCTCTTGATGCTGGTGAAGAAGGAGAGTGCAAAAGTTGACTTGAAACTCAATATTAAGAAAACTAAGATCATGGCATCCAGCCCTCTGAATTCCTGGCAAATTGATGTGGAAGAAATGGAGGTAGAGACAGATTTTATTTTCCTGGGCTCCAAAATCACCGCAGATGGGAACTGCAGCCAGGAAATTAAAAGATGCTTGCTCCTGAGGATGAAAGCTATGGCAAATCTAGACAGCATACTAAAAAGCAGAGACATCAACAAAAGCAGAGACATGCCAACAAAAGTGCGTATAGTCAAGGCTATGGTTTTCTCAGTTGCAATGTATAGCTATGAAATTTGGACGATAAGAAAGGCTGAGCACCAATGAATTGAGGCCTTTGAACTATGGTGCTGGAGAAGACTCCTGCGAGTCCCTTGACTGAAGGGCGATCAAACCGGTCAGTCCTACAGGAGATCAACCCTGACTGCTCTTTAGAAGGCCAGATCCCAAAGATGAAACTGTAATACTTTGGCCACCTAATGAGAAGGATCGACTCATTGGAGAAGAGCCTAATGCTGGGAAAGATTGAGGGCAAAATAAGAAGGGGATGACAGAGAATGAGGTGGCTGGATAGAGTTATTGAAGAAGTAGGTGTGAGCTTAAATGGACTCCAGAGGATGGTAGAAGACAGGAAAGCCTGGGGGAATGTTGTCCATGGGGTCGCGATGAGTCGGACACAACTTCACAACTAACAAAAACAATAACAAACATATCATTGTAGTCAAGTCCAACTTCCATTTTGTTGGTCATCCTCTTTTTTTCTTTCTTTCCACTTTACACAGAAGTATAAACTTCTCAGGAGAATTTTGTCTTTACATATTGTGTCAAAATTATGTATAACAAAGTGTGCTTCAAATGAGAATTTTGATTGATTTGTTCTATGATCTTTATATCTTTTGTATGACATTCTCAGGGATCTTGTCCAACACCAAAGTTTAAAATGTTCAGCTTTCTTTCTATCTTATTTCTTCAAGTCCAACTTTTGCTTCAATAAAAAGTCACAGGGAAAATAACTGCCTTCATGATTCTTATTTTCGTCTTTACAAGCATAGAAATGTCCTGGCATGTTAATGTCTTTTTGAAGACCTTTTTTTGCTACCTGACCAAATGCTACTTTTTGACTGCTGTTCTTTTATTGTTGATACTACCAAAAGGCGGAAGCTATCCTCATTTCAGTATCTTCATTATCAGTTCTAAGGCAAGCTAAGGCAAGAATATTGGTCAGGCACTATCTTGACATATACTTCTACAGAAATCAGATATGTCTTTCTGCACCACAAACCAAAATGCCTTTAGAAGATTTTGTAGCACCCAGAAACTGGATCAAAAGAAGCCCACTCAGGGCAGCCTAAAATTGTCTTTGATCAAGCAATCTTTGTCTGATCTCCAAGCTCTGACCATGAAAAAAAAATGCTAAATTCTACCAACAGTAAAAAATTATGCTGAGAGAAAGAACATGTTACTATAAACAGGGATAGCTAAATTTGATTTTGAGCTACATTAAATGTGGGCTAGATATGAAACAAAACAATTTCCCGAGGAAATAATGGATATGAAAGAATAGCTTCATGTTCATGTTAATATTTCAAGGATGTGATAATCAGCCCTAGAATAACATGGATTCAAATAATGATTCATCCATGATGTTTGAACTTTTGCAATATATATTTTTCTCTCTTGAGAATTGCTATTTCTTACACAAAGAAAAAGGAATGGTGCTTGGTTTTCTAAAGTTTTGGAGAAAAAAACAGAATAGATATATCATCAACAACACTGCACAAAAATCTAAAATAAATTTACTGATATGCAGTGCTAAATTTTAATATATAGTGTAGTGGTATGCATTGGTATGCACTGGTAAATTTTAATATATAATGAAAGAACATAATCTTATTGCTACTATACTCCAATTGCAGCTGTATATAATTCTTTCTATCACTTCTTTTAGTAATTATATTTTACAGAAGGGGAAAAAAACCTGCAAAGATTTTTTAACATCAGGAACTATTATTTGATTCATGTGAGATTTTTACATAGTCAATAATATAAATTAAGATTTTGACTTAATTATTGCCCTTTGAAATCATTTCCCTGTCTTGAAACTAACTGGTGAATGGATTTTAATTGTTCCAAAAGCAAGCACTACTTTCAGTAATTAACATGTCTCTGTAATTATGGGTGCTTAGGGGTTTCAGTATTTAACTGTAAAGTGCAAATGTTGAAAGTCAAGAAATTGCAAAGGGAAAAAAGACATAAGATCTTGTAGTCTGAATAGAAAGTTTCATCCTTTTAATAAGAAAATGAGTATAATTTTATAATGTGAATCAATGTTATTTTCCACAGACTGTATATGTGAAGTGACAAATAATTAATATATTAACCATAAAGAACAAGACAAATGATTTATTTTTAGATGAGTTTGTCACTATTATAAATTATTACTATTTTTTCTAATAAAAATATAGCTGGTGTAAAATATGGTGTAAAAATACACCATATTATACCTTAAATTGTTAATGTAGGTTATATTGTATATGTACATATATAGTACACATATTTAAAATTCTGCTATATAAAATATATTCAATCAAAATAAATTTGACTTCAATTTTTTTTCCACAGATATATTGAAAAATCCTAATTGCAAAAAACCCTAAAAGAAGTTATAACAGAGGGTGTGCATTGGGCAAGAACATTAAAGTGAAAGATTCTTATCACAAATAGATAATGAAGAAAAACTTTGCTATCAGCATATCTGGAATGTTGTTCTGAAATATATAAGGCTTCCTAAAGTCAAATTGGTACTTGGCCAGATGAATTCTTCTGGTTATAATACTTTAGAAACAAAAACATTTGCATTTACTGACAGAATGAGGGATATGACAGACAGGGGAATATTGCATTGCATCTGACTCAAGACCACTTTTCTTAACAATTTTGTTCAAATAAAGTTATACCTGACAGAGATTCCTGTATCATTTTTTAATAAACAGTCATGATTATTCCACAGCAGGAGTATCAAACTGGCAGCCCGCAGGCCGGATGCATCTTGTGCACGTTACCTCAGCTCCACAAAGGGGAAAAATCGTTGTGATACATCATGTGACAGTAACGTGACACAGTGAGTTTGACATCCATGTTCCATAGATTTGTGACATGCCCCCACACTACTTATAAAACTATTTGTAGCTTCTTTTTCCATTCTGATCAGAAATACCCAAAGTGTTAACACAGAAGTTAAGAAATAATATTAATTAAATAATGTTAGCTTCAAACAAAGTAGGAAGACAAATGCATATCCCACAGTCCTATCCACATCCATGACCAATCTATGTGCAGAAATTTTGATTAAGCAAGAAAGGAGTTTGTAACATCTGTTTATAAATGATATAGAATTTATAAATTTATATACATATACATATACATATACATATACATATACATATACAGTACATATACATATACATATACATATACATATATGTATATGTATAAAACCCGAATAACCAAAGACCTACATACAAACACCCACGAAAACCTCAGAAATAGGTTGGTCCTGGTGGAGTTTTTAATCACATAACTTTTTAATGTCACAAAAAGAGAGATTCCTGTATTAATTTAATCTGCTAACAGAAACAGAAACTACAGTATGTGTGATACTCTATGCTAATGAAATAAAAGGAATGTGTATTATAAAGAATACACTGCCATCTATCTGATGTCACTGTTTTATTTATTTAATTTTCTTTTTCCTTTTTGGAAAAAGCAAAATAAATCCTATGTGTCATATGATTTTCTTTCTTTCTCTCTTTTTTTAGAAGATTTACTAACAAATTTCAAAAAAGTATTCTTTGTTTTCACAATATATATTCTACATAGCAACAATTTTGGCTCTAAATTCTATCACCAACACACTGCCACGTTTTATTTTTTTATATATTTATTTAGTAAATTTATAGACTGCCTAGCTTACATTTTGTCCATAAGCAGTTCCTAAACTTTATGGCACCAGGTACTGGTTTTGTGAATGAAATTTTTTCCATGGACCGGGGGGGGGGGGGGTGGAGGGGGCGAAGGACCATCATGCAACCTAGATCTCCCACATGTGCAGTACGGTTCACATTTCTATGAGAATCTAATGCCTGGTAATCTGAAATGGTGCTAGTACTGGAGAGCAGCTGGAAATGCACATGAAGTTTCACTCACTCACCTGCCACTCATCTCCAGCTGTGAGTCCCAGTTCCTAACAGGCCAATATGAGTGGGGCACTCACATTGCAACACTGGTCAAAAGGGCCCAGCAGAGATTATACTACCTGAGACTTCTCAAGAAACAACAACTGAATGAAAAACTGCTGGTGACCGTCTACCGCTGCACCATAGAGAGTATTTTGACTTACTGCACCTGTGTATGGTTTGCCAATTGCACAGTGTCAGATAGAACAGCACTCCAGAGGGTTAACATCATTGCCCTCTCCCCTCTTTGGAAGAGCTTTATAGCTCCCGCTGCCTTAAGAAAGTTCAAAACATTCTTAAAGATCCATCTCATGCTGGGCACTCTTTTTTTGAACTATTACCATCTGGCAGACAGTACAGGACAATAAAAACAAGGACAAATAGGCTGAAAAACAGCTTCTATCCCAGAGCAGTAACTATATTGAATTCTACTGTATAGTGTAATATTAATACAGTATCAGAGGTTTTCAATTCAATTCAATTGTATAGAATGTGAAGGATGGACTGCATCTATACTTACCTTTACTACCAGTTCGCAGCAGGAGTGCGCGCACATGCAGAGAAGCTTCTGCACATATGTAGATCACCCATTATGACATTGTGGTGGGTGGATGAAGCCTCCCACCAGTTTTACTACCAGTTCTATAGAACCGGACCAAACTGGGAGCAATCCACCACTGGACTGCATGACTTATTTCTTAAGCAGTCAGCTGAACAGTTTCTCAGTATTGTGAAGATAATATAACCTAAAGGCTGATTATGACTTCCCATTTTTAGCAGTGCTATAAAGCTATTGTTTTTAAACTTTAAGACTATTTTACCTGGGCAGTTCTAAGAAAATGAGACTGTTTTTGAGATTTGGTGAATCATCAATTGCTACTTAACCAGTAGAGCAGGGGTGTCAAATTTGATTTCATTGAGGACCGCATCAGGTTGTGTTTGATCTTGGAGGGCTGAGGGGATGTGGCCAGGAAGGTTATGGCCACCTTGACATCACTTGTGTCAGGGGTGCCTGTGGTGGCCCAAATGCTCTGCCAGCGAAAATGGGCTCCCGATCTCCGTTTTCGGCTGTGATGGCCTCCTGCAACCCTCTGTCAGAGAAAATGGAGCTTGGGAGGGCCACACATGGTCCTTGCAAGTTCCATTTTTGGCTGCGACTGTCTCCTGCAACCCTCTGCACAGTGGTGGTATTCAGCCAGTTCTATCCAGTTCGAGTGAACCGGTAGCGGCGGCTGCAGGAGGCTTTGCCTACCCACCAGGATGTCATTGCATCCAGTTTTTGATGCTCTGCACATGTGCAGAAGGTCCTGCACAAGCGCAGAGGTGTCATACACAAGCAAAGCAAGTGTGCGCGCACACTCCCATTTCACAAGTAAGTGAATACCACCACTGCTCTGCCAATGAAAATGGAGCTTGGGAGGACCACACATGACCCTCACAAGGTCCATTTTTGTTGGCAGAGGCACCATGGGCCAGATCTAAGCACACTGTGGGCCAGATTCAGCCAGTGGGCCTTCAGTTTCACTCCCCTGCAGTAGAGAGAGAGTGTGGTTAATATAAAGATATGCAAATGCATATACATATACATATACATATACATATACATATACATATACATATAAAAACAGAGCCAGTTTTGCACCAGGAAAACCAGAAACCATGAGTTCTAGTCCGTCTTAGCCATGAAAGCCAGCTGGGTGACCTTGTGCAGAAAAGTATTATGCACATTAAACCTGCCTGCTGGAATCATGTACTGTATATACAAAATAACTTTATTTGCACTCTAGCACATATTTCTTTGTCACCTGTCACTTCAGGATTATCCCAAGCAATGCTTTTGATATTTGAAAGGAAGTAAATCTGTTTCTCAAACATCTTTGCACAGAAGTGTTTTTTTAAAATAGTATTTTAGCTACTGACTTAAGGAAAATAAAAAAGATTATAAATATTAAGGCCTAAAGAAAAGGAGATATTCTATAAAAGTAAGAAAATCCTTAACATCATTTCATTTGTCGATATACAGTGTGGCATGTAACAACAATACTACAAAACTATGCACCTTGTTTTATCCTGTCATGGGTTAGAGACATAGAACCATATTTATTACACTGCTCTGAACATACAATCTTGTGGTTGTTCCGAGATGTTTATCAGTCTGAAGATGTATTTCAACTTTCAAACTCAACATTGCTCCTGAAGGCTTCTGAAAAATATAAGTCAACAAACACTTAAATTCAGCATGTATTTTTCATCACTGAAGTTTTGAATTTCAACCTTAGAAATAGATGAGCTGAATTATATCCAGTTCTATCATTCATTCAACTTTATATGAAATTGCAAAATGTTTAACAAATCTTTTTAACTTCATAGAGGCAAACATTTAATAATAAAATCTTTGCTATTGAGGCTAGAAATGCTACCTAATAATGAGCTTTCATGTCAGTTTCTATGAAAGAAAATAAAGAATATATGAACAGAAACGATAAGATTCAGGTAGTATGGGACACAGACAGATTAGTTGAAAGAAGAAAGCCTGAAAACCAGAAGCAGTAAGATGAAATCACTAAGGTTATTGGAAGATGAGGAAAACAAATTATTGACAAAATGGAATCTCCTTTGTATTCTTGGAGCCCATTTTATTTTTCTTTTACTGATTCAAGAACTGAAAGAATCATATACAAATACAGCAAAGAAAAAGTTTGTTAGCACAGTGGAAATTGTTAATAATTTAGGGATTTTTTTAAAAAAAATCTTCTCATCTAGAATGCACGTGCAGAAGCCGCTTGGGACTTGGAGCAGTAAATGGTGTCCGGTCCGGGGAGCAGCTGGAGTTTGCTGTCCATTGCGGACACTAGCTTGGGCCCCTGCAAACTCTCATCTCTTGAGTGCTTGCTGAAGTGGTGTGGAATTTAAAATTATGAATTTGGTGGTCCCTGAGGTCAAAAGGATGGGGACCCGTGAGCTAGAAGACAGGGGAATTCAAGTGTTAAACCAAACAAGCTGATCCAGACCAGGCTAAGAAATGAGTCTCATTGAATTCAATGGGACTTATTTCTGTACTGACATGAATAAAAGACTGAATCTGAATCTTGCATACCTTAGCCTGTATATGAAGAATTTATGCTGAAATTGATTGTTCTTGAAATATAATCCTATATAGCTTGTTTTGAAGTCAGGATGACTTCAGTAAAACTTCAAATATATTATGATATGTTGAAACCAAAAGTATGTGTATTGACAATAAAATAAAAAACCAAAATCTGTGCTGAAAAAATGTCTGGAAGTTGAGTCATGGCAACTGGACTTCTTTTCTTTTCCTGTTGGTTCCAATTTTTGCTAACTGTCCCACAATGAGTTGTCCTGTGGAAGTTGGCCATGTTGAATTTTCCCATGGTGAGTTGGCTGGAGCAAATCAGCTTGGTGAGTTGGCTGGAATGAGATGACCAGGATGAGTTGACCGCGGTGAGAGAGCCATGACGAGTTGGCCACAGCAAGGTTGTTTTTTTAAAATTTGATTTATATGCCGCCCTTCTCCGGAGACTCAGGGTGGCTTACAGTGCGTTAAGCAATAGCCTTCATACTTTTGTATATTTTATACAAAGTCAGCTTATTGCCCCCACAAACTGGGTCCTCAATTTACCTACCTTAGAAAGGATGGAAGGCTGAGTCAACCTTGAGCCTGGCAAGATTCGAACTTACTTTAATTGCAGACAGCTGGTGTTAAAT